ATAGAAGCTGTATAATAAAACAATCTTATATATTACGGCAGGTAATAAGGTCTTATTTATTTGTAAAATTGTGTATAAAAGCACATACGCGGCCGAATAGAAATCACAAATCAGATTATTAGTACTTAAAATATAATGGCTTTTGTAACAGTTTTGTTTGCTCAACTAGTGATATTGGCAGCAATGAATAGTGTTTACCTTGGTGTTTACTGTACCACCGTTGCTGAGTGTGATGATGTCTATAATCGTTCAGAAATAAAAAACTTTACTGTTAATGGACACATGATTAAAAATCTACATAGCTGTCATGCAGAAAAGGAGTTTTATATGTGCATAAGACAGGCAGACGACGATCCATCATCTGAAATTGCAGAAGAACATTTTGAGGGAATTGCTCATACAAATTTTTTATGATTTCATAAATGTGTACGCCAGAAACATGTTGAGAAATTCGTGCATATAGACAGATGATGAACGGTTACAGCATTTGTTTTTGACATTTACTCTTCCCCTATCTCATTTAAAACACATGAGACCAAAATTAACAATATTCTAAAAATAGAGGCGCGAACATACAAGTCGTCGAATCGATACGAAGTTTTTTGCGCAAATGTCTGTGTGTGCTGGTCTGAGAGCAGCTGTGTCATTTATAGCTGTGTTGAATCGTCATCATTTGATTGCATAAAATGAAGTAAAAACTGAAATGAATTCTGCTGAAATAAAGCCAAAATATGTCAGAAACATAAGCCGAATCAAACGAAAAATAAAGAAGATCGTTGACGGAACATAGCCGAACGCCGATTAAGCCAAAAAAAACAAAAACCGAGTTGATGAAGCGTTGGGCTCATCATGGTTATCGTAAACTTAAGTCCATTAGTTCTCATTGACAGGCAGTTGAATTCGTTGTTTTTTGTTGTTTAATGGCAGTGTGTATGAGTATCTCGCGATTGGTATTCGATTGTCAAATCGTCGTCGATTGTCAAACAGGAAATTATTGTGTGTGAATAAAAAAAAATTCATTTGATGTGAACATAATTTTGTTGTTGTTGTTCTTTGCTCAAACAGAGACACGTTTGAATTCGCAATGTGTGTACTTCGTTCAAGAGCACTGCGTTTTAAAATTTAGTGAAAACAACAATGCATCGACATAGTAAACACATAGATAATGCATATCGAAAATGAATTGCAATGAACGACAACAACGACGATTCGAAATCGTCGAAAGGAAATGCAAATCGTATTTTATTCAATCAAATGACATCTTCGTCATAATTTTCGATCAGCGATGAATTAATAAAAATAAATTTAAAAGTCGTGAAGGTGCTTTCAATGCAATTGATTGATACAAATCGCGCGTGCAAATTTTCATTCATTTTCATAATAAATGTGCAAACAGATAGATCTGTGATGAGAGAGAGAAATACATTCAAAGTGGCTCCCCCGAAATAAAAGTATAAAGAAAACACAAATTATTCAAAGGCATACACAATTTTAAACAGTTTAATATTTTCGAAGGTGAGATAATAAAATATATTTAAAAACAAAAAACAAGTGCTGACAATATAGTAGAATTTTTGTTTTTTTGTCAATGACGGCAAAAACAAAGAGTATTTGATAGGAAAACAGACATTAAAATTGTCTATACGTTGTGAGTGTGCAAAACAGTTCTGAAATCGGAACATTTCGGTGGTTAATTGGATTAGAAAGTGCAATTAATGCCGACTTCACTGAGAAGATGCCTAAGTGACGTCTCAATGATTATAGTTCGTGCTACAAATTCCGGTGAACGAGCTTGGCGGGAAGAGTACCTAAAGTATGTCTGAAAACGAGATCATTTTGTTAAAAACTAAAAAAAAAACACCGAACATTCCACAATAATAAGCCTTGAAAATCAATTTTCAGTTCGATTTTTGTGGGGTTTGATTTCATTTGCTTCAAACAAAATAGACTATTCAAGCATTTTGAAGCGCAGAATCTTCGCAATTTTTTTTTCGTCAGTCACAACGTTTTGAACGGTCCAACACATATATCGTACATATTTTCGATTCTTTTTTTTTGTATGTTTATTCAGCTCATTTCTTCACTACGTCAACCAGTTGGTTTTTTTCTCAAGCGGCAACGATGGCCGCATAAGTCTCAATAAGTCGACTATAAAATATACATATTTAAATGCTTTCAATTTTCGAATAGAATTCACACATGTATTCCATTCCACGAATAAATTCTCTGCCATTTCCCTCGAAAATATGAATCTGGCGAAATGTAGTATTATATGTAAAGCTATTATGTCGTCACAGTTAATATGACTTGGATACAGTTGCCGTATGTGTCACATTAAACGCTGTGTGTGCCAATGTCATAGCATAAATATTTATTCGAATGTAAAGAAACCGTTGACATATTCATAGTCACTCAACCGGCTAAGCCTATGAAGAGACAAAATGCGAATTCCCCTCATCTGTGCCATCTTGTATTCCATAGTTGAACTCAATTTAATTACAATGAATTGAATCGAAAAAGAGAAAAAAACAACAACAGTAACATGGCTACATAGATCTGTTGACCAGTGAGATACGTATAACAATGGAATGAAAGAATGAAGAAAGCGTATATGTGTATGTATGCATCAGCACGCATAGATGTACAGCTCTGTGTGGCCGTGCTATTGTTGTTGTTTTTTCTCTTTTTCATTTCAATGCTACAGAATTAAATTCTGTTTTTCGATCTAATTCGAACTAATGTGAGATGGCGCTGATCAGCTGCGTTCGCATAAAAAAGTTCCCAATCTCATATACGTCAACCCCGCTTGTAGTCACTAGAAGATTGACTTGGGCAATTCCACGAAATATCGACAGCTCCATTATAAAAATAAACATCATGAATTGTTGAAAAAAGCGATTGTGCTTTGCAAAAATCTAAGTATATGCGGCACAATTTTTTTAAAAGCTCATGTAACAATGGCTTGTGGCCAATTTATATGTGCAAATTTCAAACTCATGCGAAAAAAATATGACCTGATTGAAGGTAATTGTATCGTTTTTGCAAAGAGCACAGTTCGCAGCATCGTTGTCAATCTATCATCACAGATCAGCAAAAAAAGACAGTTGATCGAATGTGCTGAATTGGTTGTACAAAGGTGATTGCTTATAATTAGGAAACCGAGTCACTAACCATAACAATGAAATCAACTCGAAATCAACGACTTTAGTCGACTTTGGTTGAAAATGGACTTTGTCATCAATGACGCTTCACTTCCTTTGGATTTCGTTCGCCACTCAAGTCCATTCATGTGTGTGCGGCGTACGGTGATGCTGTTGTAGTTTGTCGTTCCAATTGTGTTCGCAAATGTTATTTGCGAAATTTTACGCGAAATAAATGCAGATACAGCGGTAGAGCTTAATCGAAACAAAAGCATCGGACACTTTTAGTCATTTTGCTTTCTATATTATTTTACGTGAATATCACAGTTGAGTGTGAAAATTCAGTTGATTAATTAAATTCAATGGTAATGAGTCTATAACAAATTTAAAATCAAATTACCGAAACATTAAATTCTCTAACAATCAGAGCTGTGCAATTGTTGCAAGGCGCATGATGCGAAAGCAATTTGTTATTCACAGTTGTCGTTTTCATTTCGCGTGCAATTAATTTTTTCCCCCTTCATGTTGGATCATATAAAAAAAAATATTCGACGAAAAAGTCAAAAAATCTGTGACGCTGTTATTTATAGCGCTCGTTGGTCTTCACACCGCAAGTAATTAAAATCTATTTGCGCTTATTGCTTCGTGATCGTTTTCAAAAAAGAGAGATACGAATTGGACGAGAAAATGATATCTCTCCGTAGTAATCCTTAATAAAATCATCTTAATAATGGTACGCGATCTACGATACACCATTGTTGTGAGACTAGATTAAGCTCGACCTTCCACGCACGTCCGCAATTAGATTAAAAGCATCGTGCACGTGTACATTGTGTGATTCCATCAGTTGTGTGATTCCAATTATGGTTCCAATCAGCTAAAATTGATCATTGTCTAACTCAGTAGAAACTGTTATCAAATAACTCGAAATAAGCAATGATGTGAGCTTGATAAATGTTATTTTAAGCACTGTCAACCACATTACGGAATTATCATTATGAATTATGGTCCATTTGTTGCATTTTTTTTTGTTTTAATTGCGGAAATAAAATGTTAAAATGAATCTAATTTCATTTTGATTTCGGTCATGACAATCCAGATCACAATCGAATATTCGACACACATACAATGCAAATGTGAACGCAAAAAATGAGAATTATATGGAAAATAATGTCATTGTAGAATGTTCATGTACAAATGCATAAAGTCTAATAAAAAAAAAACGTCCATTAAAAACACGGAACCAGTAACTGTGAGTGAGAATCTCGCTCATCATCTGTCGGATTGAATCATATGCACTAAAGTACAATATACAATACATTGACTGAGATTGAGGACTTGAAGCATTCAAAAACTCGTTTCATGTGCGAACGACTGTGCAAATTGCGCGAGCGAATGAAATGCAATTCAAAGTGATATAAAAATGACAAATGATTGTAATTTGCAAGCGCTAAATGCGAGGTAATAAAAGGAAGTGTGTATTGACCTGGATTTTGTGCTAATTGGTTTTTGGACTCTCTGTTTCAACACAAATTACATACAATTCGCAATGGAATATTTCAATATTGGATGCACAGAACAGACACGGTTGCAAACACACATTGATGAACCCGTTTTTATTGGAAATTTTACAATTTTTCAGAATTTTGTTTGTTTTTCTTCTCTTTTGCGTATAGTATGTGTAGATACTCACACAGAAATTCTTGTGACAAATTTTATACAGCTGAAATGATGTTCATTTAATCATCTAGGATCTTAATATCTTGTGATTAAATCGAGCTTGTTTTGTTAACACATCACTTTCGGTCATAATATTAAATGATTTATCAATTGACACGCGTTTATTTCTTTTATTTACAGATACCGTCAAACTCGATTCTCTTCACGACGAATTCGAAAGCGTGTAGTGTTCAAGCATGGCGATTGTAACGTTGTTCAAGGAAATGTGGCCAAGCGAAGACGAAGATATATGCAGGTAAATTAATCGTAATTACGAATAAATGCAAAAAATAACAACGGCCAAATGAATAACAACAATTACCAAACTGATAATTTAAATTAACCGCTAGTTTTCATTCGATTTATTCAATGTTGAATGTATCATTCGGTTCTTTCTCTAATTTTGTTTTTTTTAAATCTTTATTTAGGATATTTTCACGACATTAGTCGATATTAAATGGCGATGGACTATCATGGTAACTAACAAATGATTTATTTTTATTATTCTTTTGTTTCGGAATGATCTTCAGACGAATTAATTTGAGGTTTATTTCTTTAAAGGTGTTTGCAATGAGTTTCATCGGAACATGGTCGGTATTTGCAGGCATCTGGTGGATTATAGCCTATGCTCACAACGATTTACCGGGAATGAGATCTCCCAATGAAACATTTATTCCATGCGTTACTGAAGTTAAAACATTCGCAACCGCATTCTTATTTTCCGTTGAAACACAATTTACAATAGGTGAGGTGAACCCTAATGTAACATGTTCTTCTTTTACGCATTGTCATTGAGATGATCGATCTAATTGAATTTGTGTTTTTTTTTAATTTTCGTTCGTGTTTGAAGGCTACGGAGTTCGTTATATGACAGATCAATGTCCTGAAGCAATATTCACCATGTGTGTTCAGTGTATTTTGGGCGTTTTGATTCAAGCATTTATGGTTGGTATTGTGTTTTCAAAGCTTTCACGACCTAAAAAACGGGCGCAAACATTACTATTCTCGCGAAATGCGGTCATATGCCATCGTGATGGTGTTCCGTGCTTGTTGTTTCGTGTTGCCGATATGAGGCGATCGCACATTATTGAAGCGCATGTTCGTGCTCAAATCATTCGTAAAAAGGTCACCAAAGAGGGTGAAGTGTTGCCGTTTTATCAGCAAGAATTGAAAATCGGTGCCGATGGCGGTGAGGATCGATTAATGTTCATATGGCCAACAACAATCGTACATAAAATCGATCGTCAGAGTCCATTGTACGCGTTATCCGCTCAAGATATGCTAAAAGAACGTTTCGAAATTGTTGTGATGTTGGAGGGTGTTGTAGAATCCACCGGTATGACAACACAAGCGAGAAGCAGTTATTTGCCCACTGAAATTTTATGGGGTCATCGGTTTGAGAATGTGGTGACCTTCCGCAAGGTATCTACTAATTACACTGAAAATATTACCTTAAATTATCTGTTATTACCTTATATTACATCTACTATTATACAACTTATCTTTTACTTGTAGGATACCGCTGAATATGAAGTTAATTATCAAATTTTCAATAATACATACGAAGTAGATACACCGCTGTGCAGTGCTAAACAATTAGACGAAGTTCGCGCTGAGCTTCATCTTCCAAACGGATTGGGTGCGTTTTTTTGTCTCTTTCTAAAGACTAAGTGTGTCTAAAATATCTCTTTTTTTTCATTTAATTCACAGAGAGATTGTGTTCCGCTGGTATAATACCACGTGTATCATCCGCAGTTTCGTTAGATCCAAGTGATGAATCGATTGAGTCGACTGGTCGGCTACAAATGAGGTCTACAAGCATACCAAATACTGCTTCATTCGAAAGCAACATTTTTTTAAATAACAATACAACAACGACAAACACCTCCACTAAGAAGAAATGGTTACCACCAAGGCGACTGTCGGTTAAGGCTGAACAATTACCAAATGATTCAATTTGCTGACATTCAATTTAGAACTTAGCACATTTAGTTTAAGTTAAATTTGAGACGAAAAACCTATTGAATGCAATCTAAACAATGAGACAAAAAAAATTCAATTTTAGCACATCAAGAGAACTCAAATTTGAAAACCGCATTGTACAAATGAAAAAAAATGTAAGAAAATGAATAAACGAGATGAAGTGTAAACATCAATTTAAGTGTATGAATGTGTATTTCTTCCTTATTACAAGTCAAGTGATGAACATTTCCATTCTATTTAACACCTTTTTCCCGTGCACCCAACATTTGTTTGGAAAAAATATTTGTTGATTGGTGAAATATTTTTACAAGTATAGGTACAAGGGGAAAAACTTTTCATTAAGGTAGAAATGAATTTTGTTGAAAATAAAACGGTAGCATGAAATGTATGTAATTGGAAGAACGTAAAAAAACAATACATTTTATGTCCAACGTAATTTTACATCACTTTATATCTCACCCGTTGAGTTCTTTTCAGTTCTGTCCAATTCCAAGAACAATCAGACATGTATGTTTTACGTAGCTTTTGTGGACTAGTAGAATGTTAACAATTGTTGAGATTTTTTTGGGACAATTTGTATTATCTGCAGTATATTAATTGAACGCTCTAGAATAAAAACAACGTACTGAATGGTTGTTATATCAAAGCGAAACACGGTATAACAACCATTCTGTACGTTGTTTTTATTCTAGAGCGTTCAATTGTAGTAATTCTGCAATGTAGTGCTCCCGCAATCGATTTTCTAATGAAAAACAAAAATTTCAAACTATGACATTGGCATTTCATGGTATTAAGGTTATAATTTTGAAAATAAAGGTAGATTTAATTGCCCTCATTTTTATTTTATTCATTTGCATGGAGAGACTTAGATACATTTGTTTTAATTTGATGAAAAAACAGTTCATTCTACAAAATATTCATTTTTTAGACAAACATATTTTTGGAATGAAATAACCTATGATTCACTACATATACCTCAATATAATTATAAACATTTTTTTTTTTTCAAAATTCTAAAAGCAAAAGAGAAACGTTTAACTCATTTATTGAAACGAACCTTTATAACATATAAAATACCAAATGATTCACGTTCAATTCGAATTTAAAAAAAACGAACCATTGTTCATTTTCATTGAAAGAGCTAAACAATCGTTAGATGGAGCTGTAAATTCAATTGCCTTATCTGTCGTTCCATCCGATGCCATCTTCACGCGATTGAAATTTCTACGCATCACTATCAAGTTGGTAGCTTGCTCTTTCCTTTCCCGTGTAAACTTTAACATGGTGAGTACGGTCTCTCTTCAGTGTCTCCGAAAAAAAGTGAATTTTTCCAAATTAAATATGTTAAAATCATTTAAAAATTTGCAAAAATTGTAAAAAATGTGCGTCGCCTTGAAGCAAATTCAAAATCAGTGTTAATTTTCAAATAATAATTGCGAATTTCCATGCAAATCAAATTGTCTTGCCCAACATGTGGATTTTTGACAGCTTTTCCATTGTGTGAATTGTTGTAGTTTCTTGTTGTAGATGGAATGAAAACTATCATTATGTTTTTCTCTCGAACGATTCCGTTTGAAATCTCAAAAAAATGAATGAAATATAAAAATGGTGATATTTGAATTTGCTCAATGTGAACATGAAATGATAAAAAACACGATTTTTTCCGAGCAATGACATAACCTCAAAAATTCGGCAGCAATTCCATAGTATGCATTGTAATGAATGGTTCAATTCTTTTTCCTTATCTAGGCACCGAAGAAGGATACAAAATCGTCGGCTAAGCAGCCACAAAAGACCCAAAAGAAGAAGGAAGGAGGTGGTGGCGGCAAAGCCAAGAAGAAGAAGTGGTCGAAAGGAAAAGTTCGTGACAAGTTGAACAATCAAGTCTTGTTCGACAAGCCAACATATGAGAAATTGTACAAGGAAGTCCCACAATACAAATTGATCACCCCAAGTATTGTATCCGAAAGATTGAAGATTCGTGGTTCACTCGCCAGACGTGCCCTCATCGAATTGCGTGACAAAGGTATGTATTTTCTCTAGTTTCTTTGGTGATACCTTCACAATGACACATCAATCCGCTTTGTTTTTTCGCAATTCGATCTCCGATAACAATTCATATTGACAACAAATAGACATCAGTGAATAAACTCTATGAATTAATGCATTTTCTTCTTATTTCATTTCCAGGATTAATCAAACAAGTTATCCAACATCACGCTCAAGTTATCTACACAAGAACAACAAAGGGCGACGATCCAGTTGCATAAAAAGGATATATTATTTTATGTTCAATAAAAAATATCGATGCGTGTTTTTTAAAAAACCTAAAATGATGACCATTTTAGCGCAATAAATCTTTTTGAAATCAATTCAAAACAACATCAAAGCGTTTTGTGTTTCATTTTTAATGTTTTTTGTTCCCATTTCATTTCAGGTGGTATTAAAGCATTTTGAATGTTATTCTTCTTTCTGCTTGAAATCACATAAAAATAAGGTGGTAGACAAATTTCTTGTAAACTTCGGAACAAAAGTATATTTCCGTGCGCTTATTTGGGCTATTCATTCTGTATCGTAAAAATTGAGGTTATGTCAATGCAATTCAATGCTTCAATTTCTCATACATAATCAAGCAATATCTTTATCTCGTTCGCACCTTCACACTGTTGTCTCAAATCACAACGTGTCAAACTTGAAACTGTCAAACTTTTCTATTGTGTTTACTTTCCACTAAACAAATCTAATTTCGTCAAAAATCGTACCAACTAAATTGAATAAAGAATAATTCCAGAAAAATGATTGAGATTACTGCCAAATTAGTTCATGAAAAAAAGAATTTCTTTTTGTGCGGTGAATTTGTTGAATGTTTCATATCATTTTCACATCCATCTTTGCCAGAACACAAAATCGCACAGAGCAATAAGTAAGAATCATATCTTTTTTTGTGTACAAATTATTGAAAACAATAAAAACAAATATTTTGCCTGGAAGGTTGGAGAATTTAGCATGGGCAACAGCACAGATTCACTGTTATTGTTCGTCAGCAAATGATGAAAAAACAATTGAAACCACAACGAATGTAGTTAAAGCGGCCATCGTAACAGCTGACACATCTCTAAATACCCAACAAGGCCAAGGAAATGTTGTGCTCGAAACAAAGCCGAAAATATTGTTCTGTGATTTGCGACTGTCGCCAGGCGAAACAAGATCATGTAAGAAATCATATTCACCAAAAATATGTTTCGTTTGACCTATTTTCTTTTGTTTACCCCTTAACGAAATAGATCTTTTCAAAGAGATTCTACCAATGTCCGGCCCCCCAACATACCGTGGCACAAGCATTCGGTATTTCTATAAAATAACGATTGCAACGCAAAAAGTTGGTGCCAAAGTGCAAGCGTTACATCTACCAATTCGTGTATTGTCACTGCCGACCATGATCAAAGCTGAAGAGATATCGGCACTGTGCAATGACACATCCGACGAATTGTCGCCAACGAATCCATTCCTTGAAAAGCGTAAAAATTTAGAAACAAAATTGGAATACACATTACATCATTTACAAAATATAACAGCCAGACGCCGACCAAGTTTTTATATGATTTCAAATAAACGCGGACGAGTTGGCCGTTTCTGTTTGTTCAAACAGAATTTCAAATTGGGCGAAGATATTGTGGGAACATTGGATTTTTCTTGTAGAACGGTACGATGTGTTCAAGTATCGGTGACGCTACAGTGCGAGGAAATTCTTATTGCACCAAATGCGACCACCACATCGACTCAACCGTCAACTGAATCGAATACAAATGGAACTGATAGTTCGATTGCAACTGGAAAAATCATGAACTTCACTAAACATCATGAAGTTTGCTTAGGACTTTTACAAGCACAAGTCATTTTGCCAGTTCCATTGCATGTTACGCCCACATTCTCAACGAGTTGCGGTTAGTATGGATGTTCAAATAAGTTAATAGTTTAGAAAATAATTTTGAATTCATGCTAAATTTAACACATTCATTCTCTCTTTTTTTGCAGTCAACGTTAAATGGCGATTACACTTTGAATTTGTAACAACACCAAATGATTTAAGTAAAGACCAAAATGATAATAACTGGCAAGCACCGCTTGACATTGAAATCGAAACGATGATTTGGAATTTACCCGTTACGCTGTATCCAACGGCGCCAATGCAATCGTTACAGCAACCCGCCAAATTCACAGCAACAATTAAGTGATATCAGACAGCATAAATTACGTTGTCGATACGAAAGAAAGAGAAAAAGGAAGAGAAAAAAAATGTACCGAATACCGTGAGACTTAAAGCCAGTGTAATTTCTGCGAACAAAGCAATAAAATCAATGCAACAACAACAACCATATCGAATTTGTTTGAGTGGTTTCGTTTCTTTCACACAGCAGACGAGAATGACGTTTAAACATAAATGTGTAACGGCAGTCACTTTGCATCTCGATTTGCCGTATTCATTTAATGTTGTGCGGTGCCTCGTGTAAGCAACATTTTTATTTTCAGTTCGTACATAGAAGAAATTAACATTCTCAAAAGAGACGTACATTTTCGAGTATTTATTTTTAAATTGTATTGTAATTGGTGAAATATATATATATAAATTGTGAAATACTTTCGTTTTAAATTGGTCATGGCACCGAGGAAAACTATTAAAACAACTGGAAGAGCGGCTAGAAAAAGAGCAAAGAATGATGTTGATTCCGAGTTTGAATCGCACGATGCAAAACGACGACGCTTGGATGGTAATGCGCCATTGGAATGGAAGCCACTTGAACAGCGTTCTCTCTATCACACGCAAAGCAATGTACCACTTTCCATTGGTGATGATTTGGCTGACAGTGAAGATGAAATTGACTATTATTCTCTGTACCAGCCGATTCGTGAAAGGTATTTACAGGATACACTTTTGGATGAAAGTGAAAAAAAATTGATCAATTTGTGGAATACATTCATTGTGCGTCAAAGAGGATTCGGAATAAAACACATGCTAATTATTTGTCAAAGTTTCATAGATTCACATATTCAGAACATTCTGCAAAAGAATTTTTATGGACATTTTTTAAAACATTTGTGTGTTTTATATGATCAATGCCAACTTTCATCAAGCCAATTTATGCAATTGGTGAAATACATTCAAGAGAATATAGACATCCATGTATGTAACAACGAAACCAATGGACACTCCACAGAAAATGGGATTAACAATAACATTATCATTTGAAATGGAGTCCGCAGCAAAGGAAAACAAATCCATCCAAACATAAGCCAATTTTTTTTTATATATGTTATTGTTATCATTAATTCGTCTACTTTAGCAAATTGCAACATCCATAAATAAATCCTATTAAATAATTGTAAAATGAGTGTATTCGACAACAATAAATCCGATGGTACATCGTCTGTTTGTTAAAATTCAAAATAAATTACATAGTTATATACTCAATTTGTTTAATTGGTGTTTTGATTTCTATCTATCGATGCTCTTAAATTAAAATCCTATTTATTTTCAAATCAATTTGTACGGTGCCGTGGATTAACCAAATTACGCATAACGAAAAGGTTGCAGAAAATTGCGTTTGACTGTAGATGAAGTATCAGGGAGCTAAATGAAGTGAAGGCATTAGAAGTGATTGAAACACACAATGCTACAAAAAATTCTATTATTTTCATTCCATTTCAGCACCTTTATTTCTCTGAACTGATTCAGCTGGCTGAAAATATCTCAATATAATGCCTCGTCGTAGCATGATGAAGTATCAAGTTGCAAGAGCAAAATATTGAACCAATTACTTACCATTGATATTGTTTGATTTCTCAAGAACAGATTAACAAAACTGATAGGAATCAGTGAAATACAGAAGTTTAATTTCCATTTTTGATTCGCAAAGAACGTCGAAATTGAGAATAAACTGGAATCAATACGTTTTTACGATTTTATTTTTATTTCATATTTTCTCTTTCTCTCTCTTTTTTTTCTTTCTTGGAAAGGAAATTCCATGTATGGTATTAAGCAATTTCTATAAATATTTCGAAAGCAATTTGATCGATTTTTCTAGAAAAAAAGCTACTTAGTGTGTTTCATCTTAAGTTGAATAAAAATGAGAATTATTTCTTGATAATATATTTCTTCTTTTTTTTCTCATTTCAATCAGCCTCGATGCGTTTTCAGTACGAAGAACCGATACACGCTGTACAAATTAATAAATTACTTATTTTTGGTGTATAGTATCTGTAGGTATGTCGACGGTACTTGTCGTTTATAAATCGATTTGTGATTGTTTTTTTAACTAATGCACATGCCGTGTATAACATGAATCGATTTTATCGATCAGTTTACACTAGGAAATAAGAAAATCCAACGCTTTCTCCTTATTATTATCGAATTTTAGTAATGCATCTGAAATTTTTTGCTCTTCAAAGCCCAAATCCAGTAGCTCACCCAAGCGTATCAAATGCTCAATTATCTGTAAATATAAAGCGAACGTGGAATTAGACAAGCTCTTTATCAAAGATATTTTTGTTTTACTTTTTTGTCATCTTTTCCCAGTATTTCGGTTAATCTCGCCACTTGTTCCAGTGGAAATCCCATCGAACTGATATTTCTAGCTAAATTACGAGACGATAACGACAGTTTATTGTAGATTGAGTTGGCATCGATTGATTTTGTTGCGTCATAAGTAATTTGTTTTGACGGTGCCATGTCTTTTTTTTCACCTGAAACAAATGAAATAAAAAGATATAATTGGATTTCAATTAAATGCATGGAAAAAAGATTCCAGCGATCCTTACCTTGGCTGTTGTTTCGAACTCGTCGGCCTTGTGAATTTTCAAGTTCAGCGTTAATTTGATGGACAATATTGTGGATGTCCGGTACACTTTTGCATTTTGCTTGAATGTTACTATTTTTTGTTGTTATCACAGATTTATCAATCATCGGCATTGTTGAAGTGGCAACGGTGTGACTTGGCATGGCCATTGCTCCCGTTCTGCCGTTATTATACATTGGATTTATATAATTATTTGGGGCGTATGGATTTTGGGCGATTACGTACGACGGATTATTGTTAATTGTTGTTGTATTTATGTACGTCTGTTTTGCCAGTGAATACGGATCTATGTGATGATTATAATGCATTTGATTTATATAATAGCTATTCGTAATTGGAATTGTTGTTGAATTTGAAGATGCCGTTACGGAATGATTCATTTGTTCATTATTTGTTTGATTTTGCGGCGCATTTATTGCTCCTTGATTATTATAGGAATTCGCCTGTTGATCGTGTTGATTCGCATAGACTTGATTTGGTAATTGATTTTGTTCACTTGTTGAATTTTTCGTCTTCGACGAGTCATCACTCGACGGAGTATTATCGGTTGAATTCGATCCAGCCGGATTTGTTATTGCAACCGATGTATTCCATACTTCGGCCAATATATCCAAATCGTTAATAGTTTTCAATTCAACATTATCAAATGGGCTAGAATTGTCATTCTCAAATTCTTGAAAATTAATCTTTGAATAGTGTGTTTTGGTTGCGATTATATTTTGTTTGATCGTCGTGTTCTTTTGACCGGGCATTACTGTCGGTACTAGAATATTGTTAAAATTCGGCGGACTGAATTGTTGCTGATGCCCCGTTGATTGTGTTGTAGCTGGTATTGATACGGTTTTTAAGCTAACGGCCGATTTGGAGGCATCACTCGATGTACCATGGCCACTATCGTCACCATCATCATCAGATGACAAATCGTCGGTGCTTGGATACGAAACGGCCGTCAATATTTGTTTTTGTTTTGCATCAAATAGACTTTGTTGTTCCTGTTCAAATGAACGCATTCTCTCTTTTCTATCACAGTTTTCACGCTGCCTCATGTGTTGCCATTCGGACATTTTGGACAACACCGTTCGCTCCAATGCAAAATCGTATGCATTCTTTTCGAGCACTTGAGTGGTTACACTGGACGATGTTGATAAACGTTGTGACACACTTTGGGTCAATGCCAATTTCTTTGGTGGCTTATAATTTTCAGCTATTTTCACAGGCACTCCGCTCATATAATTAAAATGATTTTGCGACATTTTTTTACAGATTTTTTATCCTTGGAAATTTGTTTGTTTGTTAAATCTTCAAATCTCAAGCAGAAATTTGACTTTGTTTTTAAACGAAAGAAAATTAATGTATTGGCAATAAATTAAACACAGAACAATGACAACAAAATCAAGGAACTTAAATTAAATTAGGTACACTTTCTCGGTCACATTGAATTGACAAACCACATCGATTAGAAATATCATACACAAACACAATTATAACTCATTCTTTCTGCTCAGTCAATAATACAATGTTTGATAGATTTTTGAACCATATCATGCATCGTAGATTTCGTTGCCTTCTATGTAAACGTTTTATCTGGGCTCGAACAAGATGAAAGGATAACAATGCACTCTAATTAGGCAAAAGAAGATAACAATATCTAACTATTTCAAATTTGTTGATATCCATGAATTCTGTATTTGGATTTTTCTCGTACTTTTTTTTATTGTTTTGTGAACGACAATGAGATGACGTATTTGCATCTGTCATTCGTGACTCAATGTCGAACGGTTTTACGTATTTTCGTATCATTTACGTAAGGAGTCTAGAGGCAATTTTAAACCGCTGAACAGAAACGTAAAATCAAATGTTCGCATTTTTTTCAAAGTTTTTAGCAAATTTAAAAGTTTTAATAATGTTTCATACATAATATAAGATAATGAAAGATTTTGGTATAAAAAATTATAGACTAAACGAGAGGTAAACAATTGAATAAAATGAAATCCATAAACGTGTAAATAAATTTAAACAACATTATCCGAAGCAAGGCACTTTTCTTATTAAGTCATATATTTTTTTTTTTACATTTTTCAATTGCATTATAAATTAGTTTAAAATCCATACTTTAAATAAAAAATTGCACACATCTCTGAGCTCGACATTATCTTTATATTCGTATTTGAATCAAAAAAAGTGTTAAGCTAGAATACATTTTTATCTATAATTTTAAAACCAAAAATCCCCTGATTGTCTGAAGTAAGTACAGTCTGTTAGTGATATTGAGCTTTTGTTATGTTTAAATTAGTTCCTTAACATAGTCTCACAACTTAAATTCATTTCATGATATTCTGTCCAAATGTTATGTACGTTCAATAATTTCATTGTAAATTTGGCGACAATTGATTTTTATATTTAATTTTGAGCACAAAGAAACGATTCCAGATATTTTGCGATTAATTGAATACACCTCTTCTGGTGGTGGGCTCATTCGTTGTTCAATCATCTTTGCTACTTCAACCGAAAGTCGTTCGGATAAATTTTCTTCGCCAAAATCAAAATCACCATCATTACGAAATATTTCACCAAACATCATAGCTGCATTCATATGAGCTTCAACCAACACCTCACTATCGTCTTCAGTCAAGAATTTCATTTTAATTAACAATTCGTACAATTTGTCGCGATCGTCAGCAACCGATGCACGAAGAAATTCTTTGTAATTGTTGATGAATTCATCACTATAGAATCGCGACGCCCCAAAATCAAGCAGCATAATTCTTTTTGATTTTTGCTCGTAAAGATAGTTTGACCAATTTGAATCGGGTTGCATGCATTTCATTTCGAATAATTCAATAAATACTAGTTTCAACAGTGACATGCCGATGAATTGACGATGTTCATAACTGAAAAATAAGAGAAAAAAAGCATTTAATTTCGATGCTTCACAACAAAACCACAACTCATTTCATAAACAATGTGTGGGTGGTATTGACATATGAGTTCTTTACTCAACTTACTCAAGTTCGAAGCATTTATCAACGGTTATGCCAGACACCAATTCGGTTGTGAGCACACAGGTTGTGGTTAATTCGTCATATACTTTCGGCACATAAAACTCATGATGTGCAACAATCAGATCGCGGTACTTTGTTTGAAAGTCGCCTTCGCGTAAGTAGTCCACCTCCCACGCCAATTCGCGTTTTAATTTTTCAATGACGTCATCGATAAAAGCGCCCGGTGGAAATAGATTAAAAAATCTTAACATTCCAATCAAATTGTTTAGATCACTTTCAATACTTTTTGAAATATCTAAATATTGGATTTTAATCGCAACATCAACGTCATTGTGTAGAATACCACAATGAACTTGCCCAATGCTAGCTGCTGCAAATGGTTTGTCATCAAATGCTTTGAATTTTGTTTGCCATTCATTGCCGAATTGATCACACATGATTTTCATCACCTGCGAATCAGGCATGTAGTCAGCCGATTGACGTACACGATCAAATATCTCAATCAGTTGTGGTGATATTGTTTTGGGATCTTGCATGCTTATAACTTGACCCAATTTTAACGCAGCACCACGCAACTGACACAATTTATCAACGATACGTTCCATATTTTGCGGGCTCAGCATCGCCGATTGCATGTCAGTTGCATCGCTCCAGCCAAATAAACTTTTTGTATATTCACTTGCGGTGCCCAATGTTAATCCGGCAAATAAACTAGTAAATTGTACAGCTCGACCCAATCGTGATGATGTCACACTTCGTTGTTTGCAATTTGAATCCAATTTTGGCACTTTAATTTCGCCTTTTCTATCCATTTTATCACTCACATCCATTTCGTACGGTTTCGATTTAATTGAATAATTTACCCAAATGATTTTTTATTTCAGAACGCTTTTCCGATATTAATGGCACTCTACGACACATAAATTTATGCTAGAACAAAATACGCGCCTCAATAACAAAAACATGAAAATGACATGTGTCATTCTCTCCTCTCAATGTCGTACAGTTTATTTGTATTTTTAGTTCATGCCATTTACGTATTTAAGAAACAATCTGAATATTTAAACCGCTCATCAGAACCGCAAAATCAAAGAAATTCAATGCTCGCTTTTTCAATCGACAATTTCTCATGAATGCAATTTCGGCGACCAAAAATGAACGAGAATTCTGTGAGTTTTGGATACTTTGCATCAAAAAAATGTTTGATTTTTTCGACCAAAACCCATGTGGTGACTTTGAATTTAAAAAAAGTAACAAAAATTGATAATACATTGAATTGTGTTGTGTTTTAATTTTATTAATTCAATAAAACGCGCTATACGCGGACATTTGCCAAAATTATAGATGGCGTCGTTAAAACGTTACAAATGTGAACTGTATGACAGGCTGAATATTCCCGAAGTATTGCATGACATTTACTAGAAATTACCTATATTTACAGTGCTGCAAACAAGTGACAAGAAGATCAATGCGTACATTCGATAAACATATTGCCTGCGAATCAACACGAAAAAATAAAAACGAATTTCGATTTCGTTAAAATTGCACTCACCATTTTAAATAAAATTCATTTTGATCGTTTCAAATTTTTTGGAAATTTTATCGTAATTTGACAGTGACTTTTAAATATATAACAAAAAATATAGTAAAAATGTACTCGATGAGTTCAGTGGCTACGAATGAACAGCCGATTCCAAGTGAAATCAATCAAAGTAATCTCGTCACTCCGTATTCGTCGCCATTTATGTCGTAAGTGTATTTTACACATTTTGTTAAATTCGCAAAAAAACTTCGATTGTTTTACTAAAAGCATTCATTTCCAGCAGACCGTCACTTTTTTCAAGTTCACACCATCAGCATCAACAGTATGAGACTGTTGTTAATCCACAATCACCGATACCACAATCAAATGTATTTCAATGGCCAATGCGCGCACATGAAATGGTTTCTTCACCAGAATCTCGATTTTCGTCATTGGATGTGCCAGAAAATGGTGTGCCTTGGAAGTGTCCACAGTGGATGGCCAATCAAAATATTCAACCTGGCTCGTATATGAATTTTAATGCGCAACAATCACATCATCAACAACAACAACTACGATTCTCAGTGCCATTCAAACGAAAAGCAACAGCAGATGCAGAGTAAGTAGTCGATTTTATTTTAAAACTTTACTTATATGAAAATCATGACGATTGGTTCATTTTTTATTTTGTGGAGAAAAAAGTTAATTTTATTGGTATCAAATATGTCAACTTTTAACTAGGCCAATTCAATCGAAACAACTGATAACGGAAGAAAAGATGGCCGCACATCTGAATGGATTACATATTTCATCCGATTTCACCGCACATGATATAAATCAAACAACGAATGAAGCATCTGATATTGATTCATTCAGTTCGTATCCACCTTCGCTCCAAGACATCGAAGAAAAATTGAAACGGGCTCAAAAGATCACGGTAGCAGAGGTGGTGAAAAGTATTCAAGAGGAGCCCTTATTGCCAGCAGCCATAATGGAACGCTTCGAAAAACCATGCAAAGCTCTCGTCATTTGGCAACCGCCGCAAAAAATTACCGAATATATCATATCAAAGGCAGTGCAAGAACAACAAAACAGCGATGATGAAAATGCCGATAATAACAATGTCGAATTTACGGATGCAACAAATACATTCGACTCGCAAATGGATTTGGATAGTTAAGTTTGTATTCATTACAATAATTAGTTGGTAATTTCATACATGAATGTTAACGTTTAAGCCTTCCCTCATAAAACATTGTTGTCACACGACGATTAAAAATCATCAACAATGAAAACGTAAATAAAAGGAAAATTCGGAAGTTTTTTTTAATGTAACATAAACGCATTGTATTTTTTTTCGTTATTTCCGATATCTGTTTTCATAGCCAGTGCTTTGAAAGAAAACAAATGTTTTATCAAATGTTTTGAGAATCGGTAGGTGCATGTATAAATCGGGCAACACCATAAAAGAGTGTTAATTTTATCTCTGTTCTTCTTCTATCTGTTTAGCAAAGTCGTTTCAATGTAATTGTACATTCGTCTCACTCGAACGCTCACATACGTCAAACATAGTACATATGCATGCGCCAACCGCATCACGTCTCTCCCATTACATACATATGCATGCATCAGTGCGATAGAAAAAAAATGTGAGCGAGACCAGTGTATCTAGCAAGTGATTTTTTAAAGGAATTTCATTTCGATTTAGTATCGGTATAGCAAGCCGAAAGTTGTGTCTGCACATAACATCGGGGAGCCCAAATCTTTTTTAATTCGGAATTTTTTTGTTTTATTTGACACTTTTCTTTAACATTTTATTGGTGAGTAGAAACCGAAGTGGAATTTTTTTGTTTATCAAAATCGTCGAAAGTGTGTAAGTTATTTTAATTGCAAACAAGGCGACTTTTATGAATAAATTCATAAAAATGATTCATCATAGTGATTTCTTCAGATATGTAGAAACGAATGGTTCTTACACACACACAAGATCATCACTTGTAGAATATTAAATGTATTGGTAGATTGCGAATTAACTAAGAGTTGTCAAAATAACTATTGGTATTTTCATAGTACAATCGTCACTGTATACAAATCCAGTTGACACTCGATATTTGTCACGATGGGGTTAAAGCGTATTGGTATTGGTCAAATTGGTATGACGTATATAATGTCAATTGTGCTGTTGTAGCCGCGTGCGTCTATGTAGAAACACAGATTTCAATACAGTGACGATTGCATGAGAATATCAATCGTTTTTTTGACAACTGTTGGCAAATTCGCAATTCACTAACACATTGAAATATATCTTTTTTGTATGTAGAATTAAGCGGAATTAAATGATTAGTTCTTCGACTTCTTTGCACCGTATTACAGCATTGACACAACTTTGTGCTAAATTCCTGTAAATTTCAAATTTTAATATATAAACTGTGGTTTTTTTTTTCTTCAATAAAAATTTACAAATTTTTCATTTTGTAGGTGGATAAAAAACGAAGTGAACAAATTTTTGTTTATCGACAAAACCGTCTGAAGTTTGTAAACAAATAAAAATTTGCATTGCATTGACAAAATTAAGAATTTAATTGAAAAAAAGCGAACGAAAAACAAAAAGAAAATATAATCAAAATAAATTGTGTGTGAGTGTACGTTTTTTACGTTCTTGTCAAAAGTCTCAATTTATTTTGAGTACGCGTTTTTTCTCTTGCTTTAATATTTAATCTCTGAGTGCGTTTTTACGGTGCAACAGTGTTGGTACTTACACCCAGCGTATATCAGTCAACATAGCGTGAATGTGTACGTGCATTTTGTATATAGCAGCGGGCCGAGTCTGTCGGCATATGGTTGTGTGCGTTCTTCGTAGTTCTTATGAAATTTGAAACTTGTGCTCAACTAGAACAACAACAATAACAACACATACAAAAAAAAATACCATCACTAGAGTTGGGATCGAACATTGACTCGTATTGGTGGTTTTGTGTGCGTAAAACACAAAACATTAATAATTCGTTTGAAGCAGAAAAAGCATATAACACACACGAAAATGGAATACAAATTAGTCGTTGTTGGGGCAGGTGGTGTCGGTGAGTGTATTTTTGCAGGTTTTATTTCTCCTTTCATGTTGTTGTTTTTGTTTATGTTATTGTACAATGTCCCTTCCAAATG